CAATTGTTGCTTTGTTAACTTCGCGCATTTATTCGCACATTGTTTATTTGTTCAGATGTTCTATTAGTTATAGGTCTAAGTGATTTCAAATATGTATTTTTTACGACTAGAGTGTATCTAAAATGTTTTTGAGAAATAAATTGTTTTAGAAGTGAATAGTTTCGTCATGTTTAGTTTATAAAGGCAGTTTCCAACCGACACAAATAATAGGACACAGTACAATATTTCATTGAACGTTACTTATCGATACAATACAAGAAACGAAGATGCCGAATTATTTCGAATGTTGTAAAACCAAAGAGCTATCCAACTATGTGTGCATAACATGTAAACAAATTTTTCATCGCAGTTGCTGCAACAAACGAAATGACGTAATTGTCATTGCCAAGCATATGATATACTGTAGTACGACATGTCAAGGAAAAGGTGAAGAAGAAATGGAGAAGGATAACACTACCAAAGAAATAATAAGAGAATTACAACAAGAGATTATAGAGAAGGATAAATATATTGCCTCTATGAAAAAACGCTCATTGGCTTTTGAGGATGATGTGATTGAAATTGAAAAAAATTACAACGACGAGATCCAGACTTACAAGCGTCAAATACAAAATATAGAGCAACAACTAGCATATTTATCCTCAAAAAACAGTACACTTCAGGAATTGACAACCTCACTTCTGATGGAAGAACCTCCAGTTGCGAATGATATTAGGGCCACAAGTTTCCAAATGAAGACAAACGATATGTGTAAAAGCCAGCCGATAGAACATGAATTCGATGAACATCAAACAGCGTCGACTTTTGCCCACTGTACATCTATCGTTTCCCCCATACCCCAGTTAGACGGCGAAGTAGCAGCAGAATCTGCAAGACAAACTCCAAAAGAATTCGATGATGCACCAATAATCGATATAGTACCATCAGGTGGATCACCTAAACGTAATGCCTCAGACAGCTGTCGGAAAATCATCATAATTGGTGACGAATATGCAAAAAGTTTCAGAAAAGTGTTAGAATTATACACCGACATGACAAAGTTCTCCATAAAAGCTCACGTTTATCCCAATTTAGAGTTTGTAGATATCACAAAAAACGTATTTAACATCACAAAATCTCTTGGTGAGAACGATTTTGTAATCTTCATGATCAACTCTAACAATATAAGTAACACCCCATCCTTAAACAAAGGTTTACATTGCCTCTTACCTCTCGGTCGAGTAACCAATCTTATTTTTTTATGCGAATTGACCACATCTGTCGACTATCACCTTAGAAATATAATTAATACTAAAGTCGATAGACTCAGGAAACTAAATAGAAACTATTCTTTGAGCCTATTATATGACATCAGAGCTACGGGATCAAAAATGACAATCATCCAGCATGTAAAGGATATTATTTTTGAACAATTGAAAACTGTACAAATCAACATCCCCGACAAGTCTGAAAAACAGTTTTTTCTTAAGTAAATCACTCATTAGGGAAGATAAACAACAGAATAATACAATACCAAAACCACGATCTGTTAAAACAGTAAAATACAGTAACATGCTCTTTAGACTACTACATCTAAATATCCAAGGTGTTCGCTGTAAGTCAGGAATCATCGAATCACTGTGTGAAAAGAATAAATATACAATGCTCTCTATAAATGAACACTGGTTAAGAAAAGATGAGTTATCCTATTATCATATCTCTGGTTTCAGATCTGTATCTAGTTTCTGTAGGGATGTGAAAATTCGTGGTGGTGTGGCTATTTATATAGCAAATCATGTTAATGCCGTACCTCTATCAGATAACCTTCTGAATCTGTCAGAAGAACTACACTTTGAGGCGGCCGGAGTAAATGTGAATGATCTTCAGTTAATCTCACTGTATCGATCTCCTGATGGTAATTTTGAATACTTTATTATGAAACTTTGTCGTTTATTGGATGGACTCGATTACCGCAAGCAAATTGTGATAACAGGAGATTTTAATGTTAGATTTAATACCTTACAACACCAAGCTCAGGAGCTTGTGAACTTATTTAGTTGTTATGGTTTCATGCCAATAGTTAGTCAAAATACAAGAAACTCAAGTTGTCTAGATAACATCTTCATAAACTACGTAGACTCAGAAATTAGCGTCAATGTTTTTGATAGTCATTATTCAGATCATTTAGCGCTTGACTATACTTTTAATTTATCACATGCACCGAAAGTACATAGGAAATTCTATTATAGACCTATAACAAACAGCGGCCTTTTCAAACTTTACAATGATATGGAATCAACATCTTTCGAATTTGTTAATGAAAAAAGTACGACAATCGAATATAAAATTGAAAAATTCATATCCATTGTCAGAATTTCGGTCAATCAACATCTTCCTATAAAATCGCGACTTGTTAATGATAATAAAAGCTCCTGTAATGTGTATTGGTTCAATGATCATATAAGAAATATGAGAGAGACTTTGACTTTCCTAACAGAGCTTCATAAAGACGATGTTACTTTAGTTAGTACGGACTGCTTGAAACAATTTAAATACAGTTACAGACAAGAAATTGTCAAAGCTAAGATAAAAGCCAATGATGACTACATCAATAAATCCAACAACAGACAACATGCTGCTTGGAATATCATAAAGAATGTTAAACCGAACGTGCACAACCAAGACTCCTCAACATCTCTCACAGCACATCAATTCAACGACTTTTTTACCCATATCGCACAAAAACTTTTAAATAAAATTACCCCATCCGATGTTTCTCCATCGCATTATATGAATCATCCTACTCATAGTTCACACTTTCGATTCAGGGAAGTTTCATATCATGATGTGAGAACTGCCATAAATAAACTAAAAAACTCAAAGAGTACTGACCCATATGGCTTTACTGTCAGGATTGTCAAAACCTTGCAAAATCTCATCATATATCCTCTAACCAAGTTATTCAATCAGTGTATAGAAAGTAATACGTTTCCGGATTTTTTCAAACTATCTAAAATTATACCCATTTTCAAACAAGGGGATACTGAAGAGTTATGCAACTACAGGCCCATTTCCTTAATACCTATTTTTGCGAAAATTTTGGAATTATTGTTGAAAGATCAAATTAATGAATACTTTGAGGCTAATAATCTATTTTGCTCAACACAGTTTGGTTTTAGGAAAAATCGTTCCACCACATCAGCTATTAACAGTTTTATTCAGTTTGTGAACGAGACTTTTGAAAACAACCTATATGGCGCAGCATGTTTGTTGGACTTGTCCAAAGCTTTTGATTGTGTTCAACACGACATCCTGTTGGAAAAGCTCCCTTTTTATAACTTTCATGAAACATCCACTGCAATGATTAAATCTTACTTGAGTAATCGACGCCAATTTGTATTCTTTAAAGGTTCATCATCCTCACAGTTAGTCGCTGCTCACGGGGTACCGCAAGGCTCGGTATTGGGACCTATTTTATTTTTAATTTACGTCAATGATATAACTAACTATAATGTGAATAATAACTTAATCCTATTCGCTGATGACACTACCTTGATGAATAGCAATGCCTCTTTAGCCTCATTGATATTCGACTCTGAAGCTCATAAAAGAAAACTAGCAAACTGGTTAACCGCTAATAAGTTGACTATCAATGAAACCAAGTCTCAGATGATTATTCTTAGCTTGAGGCAGCACGACACTAATACACTAAAGTCCGTGAAGTTACTAGGAGTCTACCTTGATGAACACTTGTCGTGGGAAACGCACGTAATCCATGTTCTCAATGCACTAGCAAAATATATATATTTGATAAGGAACTTGAAACAAAATGTCTCTCAGTCAGTTCTTCTTCTAACATATTATTCCTACTTTCAATCAAGAATTTCATACGCATTGTTAAACTGGGGTCACTCGGCCCATTCGTCAAAAGTTTTTGGATTACAACGACGTTGCTTGCGGTACATTGCTGGCCTCAAATACACGGAACCTTGCAAGGAAGCTTTTATAGAATTGAAAATCATGACAGTACCTTCTCTTTACATCTTCACATGTCTGATGTATATAAAGACTAACCTGAGCCAATATACTACCCACAGTGATGTCCACAGTTATAGAACCAGAAATATGGATAAAATCTTACTACCTCATAGCCGTCTCCAAACCACCAGGAACGGCACAAACTATTATGGGATAGCTTTTATAACCTGTTGCCAGACCGTATAAAGAAACTGGATGCGAAAGTTTTTAAAAATAAAGTTAATGCTTATCTGACTACTAAAGCATTTTACTCGATCAACGAGTATTTGAGCAACAATTTTTCAGACTTGTCGGATTGTTAGCAAATACAACAGTGTTCCTACACCTGGGATCCTCTAGGCTCCTTGAACTTTCTACTAAGTCATCTGGTAAATTTTTATATCAACATTTCATATGTCTTACCATTTTAACGTATATGTGTGTATGTGTGTATATATGTACGTGTGTATATATGTATGTGTGCGTGTGTGTGTGTAGAAGTAAACATATTGTGGTTAAATCAATATGCGTGTATCTATGTACGTATATATGTCCTCCTGTTTTTACAACTTTTATGGACTGTATCTGTTTTTATTGAATCATAATGTCATAAGTTGATGTTTTTCTGTGTAATTTGAACATCAGTCTTTTGTCAGACTGCTTTTTTGTATTAATTTTGTTTTTCTTTTGACTTGTGTAAACACGCTGGTGTACTTAACACAAATAAAGAATTGAATTGAATATTGAATTTTGGTACAAATCTTGAAGCGGGCCCACTGAAGTGGGAAGGGGCTCGTAATTCGAGTTTTGCAAGGATCTATCTGAAAACATACCTAATTATGTGTATTATGCTCTCGTGAATCCAGAGCCCTATCGAAACAAGAGTGACAATGCGTTCGGCCTCAAGGTCGAGCAGTTCCTGCGGCGCTCATGGCAAGAAATTCTGAAAAAGTACAATTTCGGACACCGATGGAACAATGGAATAATTTTTAATTTGATTTCAGAATGTCCTGTTCAGCATAGGCAGCGCTTTTCTGTACTATGTAAATCACTTCAAATTATACAGTTCTTTTTGTGCGAGCCACAGCAAGGCGCAGAAAGTTTTGCATCCCAGTGAGTATTTACATATTTTTAACAATGTCTCAAAGTCAATTCCTAAATCCTCCGACCAGATATTTTAAGCTCAACAAGATACATTTTCCTACACAGGGTGTTTTCAAAGCGCAGTAATTTGTAGAACTCGGCAAAAGAAGTTGATGCAGCAAGAGCTATACAGGGTGACTTTGAAGTTGAGTCATTAATTTTCAGATAATGATTGTAGAAGGAAGATATACCAAAATATGTGTGTAAAAATAAAAAAAAATGTTACCTTGTTTTATAAAGTATCCTCCCGACAAGTATTTCAGTGCGGACCTGTATTTGATTGTGAGGTCCCCTGTGAGGTCTTAAGTCACCTGATTCACGAGCCCGTTGTACTACATTAACAAAGGCACGAGGGGTTGGTTGCACTCGATTGGGAAACCGATCCGAATAAACATGTGCCATTTTTTTATTTCGTTTGAGCCACGCAACAGACACTATTCACACGCGACTGACACTGACTGTATGTATAACTGAACTGAATAAAATAATTGTAAGAACATCGTTCCAAATTCTTTCGCTTTTTTGTTTCCGATGCGATGAACCGATAAGGCGGATTATATCCGTTGTCGCCAAACACGAGCACATAATATTATTATTGAGACAGGGCGGTACTCAAACTTCCAAAGGGCTATAACTTTGTTACTTTAATTGTACCAGAAAAATGGTAAAGGAAAAAACATTTCTTTTGATCAGATCTACTCACTGTTAAAATAAATGACTCAACTTCGAAGTCACCCTGTATAGAGGTTGCAAATAGGAGAGTTAGTTTACAGTATTAAAAGTTATTCAAAAAATCATTATCAAGTTAACTGGATACCGTTACTTCATATCAAGTCAAACATATCGAGAAAAACTGATTTAGGAGGTAAATGGCTTTTTCTAAGAGATTAAAATAATGTCGTTCCAGATGAAGGCAATCAAGCTCTGCAGGAGTTCCTGGCTGCGAGAAATCCTAGGCAACAACATTCGTCAACCTTAGAATCTTACCTAATCAAACCAATACAGAGGATACTGAAATATCCATTGCTACTGCAACAGCTCAAAAACCTGACTGATCCCAATACTGATGAACATCAACACCTTGTCGGTGAGTTTTTTCGATTTAATTATACGGTTAATATACAGTCAAATTTCACTGAAGTTCGCGTGCTCCTACCCCGCTAGCATGAAATATTTATTAAATATTTTTAAAAAATGTTTTCTAAATACTTGTAGAGACGGATTTTTTAATATTTAATAAGTAAATAATCATGTATATTTTCACAATATTTTTTCTTCAAACATTCAGAAAATGTATGAGGAAAGATTTTTAAATATCAGTTTTATATTTTGATGAAATATCTGATATTGTTCGCAAGTATTTAGGAAATATGTGAATCTACATATTTTGAAACATTAATCTGATACGTATTACCAGTGTATTCTTGAAATGTTTCAATGTTTATTTTAGCAAAATCTGTAGGAATCCTTTTCTGGGTATATAAAGAAGATCCGTTCTAGATGTAATAAATGGTTTAATTTTCCAGAAAAATATCATTAAAAATATTCCAGACCTCTTCTACATCTTGCAAATACATTTCCCTGAAAAAAAAAACTTACAATGAAGTATTATTGGATACATCTGATTTCTAATGATTTTTTGTTTGGAGTGATATTCTCCTGAACTGCTCTAAAAAGTGTATACGTATATAAGTGTCTCGCGAGGTAAGGCACAAAATTTTTCTGCGTATTCCTCAGGTCAATTCGAGTCGAAAAAGTCATACATATGTACATGGGTCCGCAAATGCTTCCTTATCGAAATATTATTTTTTTTTTTTTTTAGTGGGTGAAAACCACAATATTGTTGGAAAATTGCTTTTATTTAACAAAAAATTTAATATTGTTCATATGAAAACAAATGTTTATGATATACTGCCCAATTAATACGCTGGTGTTTGTTGACGGAGTAGTTGTGTCAGTTTGATTGAACTTTGCAAAAGGTATTTAAATAACACTTTTCCTGGGCGTTGGGTTGGACGAGATGGCGCAGTTTCTTGGTTACCTCGCTCGCCCGATTTAAATGCCTTGGATTATTACTTGTGGGGACATACGAAGTCCTTAGTGTATGCAGGAAAATCGCATACCAGGCCTTAACTGCTCCCTAAAATTACTGGTGCCGCTGACGACATAAGAAGTAATGGTCTTGTTATTGAGCAAGCCACCAGTCACATTACACTGATCAACAGCCAAAAAATATCCTAAATAAAATCAACAAAATATTACTATTTTTAATGTGCTTAAACCGGAATGAAACTTATTTTTTCAATATTAGTTCAAGTTTTAGAGATACGGTAATTATATGTGTTCCTGCTGTGACAGTGTTAATATACTGTAATTCACAAGAATGCACGTGCTACATTTTTATATTCGGCAAGGAAAGATGATGTAATATGCATGATTGTGTTACGTTATACATACGTGTACATTATATTGTTTTATATTAGCCATCTTTTCCTCAGTTGGCTGACAGCGTTCATGCAAGATGTCTCGAAAGTGTGTAAACAATCCAGATCAGTTTTGTTACGTGTGTGGTGATGTGACTTTTGCGTCTCAGAGACGGTCTATTACTCCACTAATAACACTGTAATACATGTGCTTCAAGTCTGAGGAGCTGGTTAAATGGCAAAAAACGGTCTATGCGCTTTGCTGTCCCAACGGTTTGCAGAGAGCCTACAAATCATATTAATGATTGTTACTTTTGCATGGTACCTTGTGTTGGACAAGCCACAGGTATGTCCAAGAAAAAAAAATCGGTTATTAACTACCCAAACATACCATCTGCGATGAGACCTGTGCCTCGCAGTGACGAAAATCCTATTCCAAAACCCCCAGAATCCTACACTTGCGAATCAGAAAACGAATCAGATCATGGCGATCGAGTGATTCGTCAGGAAGAAGATATGCCATCAACGTCAAGAGATTTTATACCGAGCACGTCATGCCACCAACCGCACAAAATAACACAGTCAGAATTAAATGATCTTGTAAGAGATTTATAACTTCCAAAATGTAAGGCAGAGTTACTTGGATCAAGACTGCAGCAGTGGAACTTGTTAGAAGACGATGTTTCGGTATGTGTTTTTCGTAAACGCCACAAAGACTTAGAACCATTTTTCAATATGGAGAATAACTTGGTTTTCTGCAGTAACATTAACGGCTTACTGGCGGCTTTAAATATAAACTATAACCCAGAAGAATGGAGATTGTTTATAGACAGTTCAACATTGAGTTGAAAAGCAGTGTTATTGCATATTGGAAATATTTTACCATCTCTTCCTTTAGGGTATGCAGTTCACATGAAAGAATCATATGACAATATGAAGTACCTATTGACATGCATAAAATACGATGAGCACCAATGGCATATTTGTGGCGATTTGAAAGTTGTTGCACTTTTACTTGGGCTGCAGCTAGGCTACACAAAGTGTTGCTGTTTTTTGTGTGAATGGGACAGTCGGGCAAAGGCACTTCATTACACCAGACAAAACTGGCCTGTTTGTCAATTCCTAGAGCCAGGTCAAAAAAATGTACAGCATATGCCATTACTAGATTCGAAAAAAATTTATTACCACTACTGCATATCAAGTTGGGCCTAATGAAAAACTTTGTCAAGGCATTAGATAGAGATGGGTCAGCTTTTCAATACCTGCGTCAGAAATTTCCAAGACCAAGTGAGGCAAAGGTTAAAGAAGGTACTTTTGTTGGGCCAAAGTTTCGAAATATTTTGAAAGATACACAGTTTGAAAACACTTTAACAGGTACTGAAAAAACTGTTTGGAATGATTTCCGTCTGGTGGTCACTAATTTCTTGGGAAATAGAAAAGCTGACAACTATAAAACCCTTGTCAAAAATATGCTGTCATCGTATCAAAAGATGAGCTGTAATATGTCTCTTAAGATACATTTCCTACACTCACACCTGGACTTTTTTGCGGAGCCGTAAGTGATGAGCACGGCGAACGTTTTCATCAGGATATTTCAACAATGGAAAAAAGGTACCAGGGAAAGTGGAATTCTTCCATGCTTGCAGACTACTGTTGGACTCTTGGTAGAGATGCTCCAGGAACGATCCATAAAAGAACAGCAAAAAGACAGTGCATACAGTGATTCTTATAAGTATATGAATCTTGTTACTTTTTTTAATATATCCTTAAAAATAAAAAGTTTATTTTCTAAGCCGCAACTAATTTTTTTATTTCATTGTCATTTTTGGATTCAGCGCCCCAACATTAACAAAGAAGTGCACTTTTCCCACAAGATACAATTAAAAAACTAAAATTTGTTGTCCAGTGAACCGGTTAGACTATGCTTACAGTGTGAAGGTGGACACTTCGAACGACTATTGTGAATAGTTATATTTATTGTACCTAGTTATTTTGTGTTAAATAAAAGTAATTTTCCAACAATATTTTTGTTTTTCCACCATTAGCATCCAAAAAATAAAAAAATCATTATCTCGATAAGGAAGCATTTGCGTACCCATGTTCAACGGAAAGGAGGAGGAAATCGTAGAAAAATGTTGTCCCTTACCTTGCGTGACACCCTTGTATATGGGAATATAGAATGCAGTGGAACAATATGGGTGCTAAGCATTGCTGAGATACTCAAGCTGGTCACTAAAAAGCAGCCTTATAATTCACCTAAAAGACCTCGGCATATATACTAAGTGACATATAAATCCGAACACCCAGTTTAAATGGTTTTATTTTAATAAAAGTTGGTAAATGTATTTATCTTACTGTAAATAGCAAGTGAAAAAATTTTCAGCCTTATCAGTTGGACATTGTGGTTTTTATACTGCTTTTTTTTAATTCACTAACGCTCTAAAAATGAATATTTTAGCCGCAGTAAAGAATCAACGTTGGCGGATTTTGGTTCTTGACATCCCTTACGATCGGTTACGATGCCTAGAGTACGGAGACCTGTACGATTTCGTCAACTTAGATAGGGGCCGTATAGTGGGACTTCGGGAAGCTGGACTTTCTTTTCGGGCAATTGCAGTTAGAGTGCAAAGACGTGTAGACACTGTGGTTAGGTGTTGTCAGGCATGGCTTCGAGAAGGCCGTACGCAAAGAGCAAGGGGCACTGGACGCCGCCGTAGAACAACAGACCGTGAAGATCGCCGCCTAAGATTATTGGCCTCAAGGGACCGTTTCTCGGCTACGAGGTCCATTTCAAATGAATGGTTTGCAGAACACGGAAGACCTATTGGCATGCGAAGTGTTTACCGACGAATGAGAAGTTTTGGCTTGTTTTCATACCGGCCACACTGGGTCGTCCCTTTAACTCGAGAACACCGACGTAATCGCCTTGAGTGGTGCAGACAACGGTCACTCTGAGATGAGGAATGGAACAGTATTGTCTTTAGTGACGAGTCTCGATTTTGTTTAGGCATGCACGATGGTTGTGCCAGGGTTAGAAAGCGACGTGGTGAAAGGAGGAATCCATAGTTTTTTGTTGAAAGACATGTTCATCACACTGTTGGAGTTATGGTTTGGGGTACTATAGCTTATGGTTCCAGGTCACCTTTAATCTTCATCAGAGGTAACATGAATGCCCAGCGTTATATCCACGAAGTTCTAGAACCCCATCTTTTACCCTATCTTGACACCCTGGCAGATCCAACTTTCCAACAAGATAATGCCCGACCACATGTTGCAAGAGTCACAATAGACTTCTTTCAACATAATGATGTCACATTGTTACTATGACCACCAAGATCTCCCGACTTATCCCCAATTGAGCACGTGTGGGATATGATGGGTAGGATATTGCTCAATTTGCAACGTCCTCCTCAGACTCTAGAAGCACTTCGAGAGGAGTTGGTGGTTGCCTGGAATGAGATACCACAGGAGGACATTGACCACCTGATCAGAAGCATACCTAGGCGCGTTGGAGAATGCGTAGCACATCAGGGTGCATCCACACATTATTAAAGGTCAAAGTGCTTTAAAGCAGTGCAATCATTTTGAAATTTTTATCATTTACTTATTATGCTTCATTAAGTACTTATACAAAATTTTATTAAAATAAAACCATTTAAACTGGGTGTTCGGATTTATATGTCACTTAGTATACTTCTTAGAGAGTTCGAGATCGTTGGTATTTTTTATGAAAATTTGGGATGTTTTAATTATCGTGATAAAAAATGTGCAGGAGCTCAACTTGATCTTTAGACTAGCTTTCGAAAAAAAGGTATTTAAAGATGGACCACTTATTACTTTTGCTGAAATATGCCTTTTTGCAGCACTAGCGAGCTAATTTACCCATAACTATTTTGGGATATGATATTGTAAGTCAAGAGACAAAGATACGGTATTTTCAATTGCTAAAATTTGTGGAACGCCATTTTAAAACAGTTATAGCTGATTTGCTGCCTACTAAGACAAAAATACCGGTGCCAACTCTCAATTAAAATCATTTATTAAATGATAATTGAGATATTTTTGATGTATCTGGATCAAGTTGTGATTGGGGTGACTTTTAGTATGCTGGTCCTTTTATATTGTATCTCAAATAACTTTGTCACACTTCAAGGCTAGTTATTTATGGTCCTGTAAATACCTTTTATACTCAACTGGCACAATAATGTTTACTAGTCCGATAAATTAAGCTTTGTAATTATCGCAAAACTTACCTTTTTCCACAAAGAAATACTCAAATAATGTACCACACACGATGCACGCTGTCACAGTCAAACACACAGGCAAAATGGAAGCCGGCAAGGGTTAAGGTCGGCTTGCCATTATGATTTAACGAAGATTTTCTGAAGAATGGAGTTTTTATATTTTCCATTGATTGAAAACTAAATATTTGCTAAATATTGAAAAGCATATTGATTAAATATTTATTGAAAATGTTATAATACAAATATTCATTAAACATTTGTTTGTTCCATTTTCTAGTATCTAGTATTCATTGTTTCCATAAAAAAAATTGTAATTTTCTCATATCTGTTTCACAGAGGCCTTAAAGGGAATGGAAAAAGTAGCTGAACACATAAACGAGATGCAAAGGATACATGAAGAATATGGAGCAATATTTGATCACCTCTTCAGGCAACACCAAAAGTCATGCAAACAGGTATCTACATATACAGGGTGTCCCGAAAAAAGTGTGCAATATTCTACCAGCGGTTTCTAGAGCTTAAAATAGGAGGAAAAGTTCATATAAACATAGGTCGACAAACTTCCCCTAAGGGCGCTACGGTCTTTTAAAGGGGCTCCCTTGAAGATGGTTTTTCCTTAATATTTCCGAAACGTGGTGAGATGAAGACATAAAATTTGGTATCCTAGTCTAGTTTTTCATGCTGGATTTAAAAATATTAACAGTTTTAGACAGTTTTATTTGAAAGCGTATGTAACAGGGACGGACTCAGGCTATTTGAACCCCAAAATTGTTGACGAAATCGTACAGGTCTCCATACTCTAGGCATCGTAACCGATCGTAAAATATGTCAAGAACCAAAATCCGCCAACGTCGATTCTTTACTGCGGCTGAAATATTCATTTTTAGAGTGTTCTTGAATTAAAAAAAGCAGTATAAAAACCGGAATGTCCAACTGATAAGGCTGAAAATTTTTTCACTTGTTATTTACAGTAAGATAAATACATTCACCAACTTTTATTAAAATAAAACCATTTAAACTGGGTGTTCGGATTTATATGTCACTTAGTATATTGAGGAAAAACCATCTTATGGGGGGAGCCCCTTTAAAAGACCGTAGCGCCCTTAGGGGACGTTTGTCGACCTATGTTTATATAAACTTTTCTTCCTATTTTAAGCTCTAGAAACAGCCGGTAGAATATTGCACACTTTTTTCGTATAGATATTCAAAGTTCTTATTTTCAAGTAAGTGCTCGTTTTATTGATAACGTATTGTTCTTACAGCAATTTGTTGACTGTTCTTTTTTGTAGTCGATAGACTTGAGTCCTGGTGACCTGCTGTACTACGGAGGTGTGGAGTGGCTGAATATTTCCGATTTTCTCGGGAAAATCAAGAAAGGCCTAGAACTTCACGCAATGTGTTTCGTATTCAAGACTGCTGTAGTGTTCCTTTGCAAGGAACGACTTAGACAGAAAAAGAAGCTTATGGTGAGTCGGTGTAATAAGTAAAAGTCTCTATCATCTGTGTTGTTGTTTTTGAATTTGATAGGATAATGCTCTTATCCTTTGAATGAATTTTGTTTTGTTTAGGGTGTATCAAGTAAAAGTTCCTCGTCAGAAGTAGAGATAATCAGATACCAAGTGCTTATTCCTGTAACAGAAGTACAAGTAAGAGCTTCATCAGCAAAAGATATGGACTCTCACTTCTTATGGGAGCTCATCCATCTCAGGAATCAATTACAGAGGAGATCCGAGAAGATTTACGTCTTATCAAACAGGTAATTCAATTCAATTCAATGGACTTTATTGTAACACATACATAATTATGTATCCTTACAAATGGCGAAGTCTGGCCAATGGCCATTTATACTTAACCATAAATGTCATGTCAATGCTTATTACTACCTTAAAAATAAAATAAAAAACTGAAAAAGAAAAGGAAAAAGAAGAATAATAGTAAAAGAAGAATTAATAAATATGACATAATGCGTACGATTAGAACAAAAAACATAATGCGTACGATTCAAAGAGAGGACAATAACCTAAGAGCTCAATAAGTAGTTCTTATATTTTTTTTAGAAAAGTTGCTGATGAAACATTGTTGATCAATTTCACCGCATTATACGTAAAAGACCGTTGAAAAATGGCTGTCCTATGTTGTGGCATTGTCAGGCGATTAATGTTGTACATATTCAAATTGTGAATTAAATTCCTACGAACAAGCTTTTGCATAAGATAAACCGGAACAGAATTTTTTAATATTTTTACGACAAATGTAACAAAGTTGTATTTGAAAAGATCAGAAATTTTGCAACCAATTCATTGAAGATATTGAGTGAGAAACATGATCGTACCTTCTTAAATTGTTTATGTAACGACTACATGAGTTTTGAATTTTTTGCAGTCTGTATTTTGTGATTTTATCCAGACAGAGGTAATAAACTATGTCGCAGTAAGCGATTTTACTGAGTATGAGTGACTCGCATAACATCTTAATTTTTCTATTTAAAACAGTTTTACTTGCATATAGAAGCCTGAGTCTAAAATAACTAGACTTACACACATAGCCAATATGCTCCTGAAATCTGAAATCTTCATCCAAGTACAAACCTAAATTTTTTGCGGATAGGGAAAATATTAGGATACTATTATTTAGTGATAAATTTAACTTTGATTTGAGGAAAGTACGTTTTTTCTTGGAGCAAAAAAGTATAGCTGTCGATTTCGGTGCGTTTAGACGTAAATCATGTTTTGCAGCATATGTGCATAAGTATTGCAGATCTTGATTGATAAGGTTGTTAGCTAAATGGTAGTTGTTCGGACAGAAATTATGAAAAACCTGCATATCATCAGCATGAGATTGACTAGAACAATGTTGAAGGGTGTTAGAAATGTCAAAGGTGTATATAAGGAATAAAAGTGGACCTAATATGGATCCCTGAGCCACGCCGGAACAAATCGGCCTTTTGTCTGAAAGTTTATTTTGTATGACGACATATTGATGTCGTTCATTTAAATAGCAATCTATCCATTCCAGAACCAAGTCGTCACACCCAATGTATTTACATTTAGAAACTAACAGCTTATGATTCAGGGTGTCAAAAGCCTTGCTGAAATCCAATAAGACTAATGCAGTTGCTTCTTGCCTATCCGCCGCTGTTAGTACATCGTCACAAACCCGTGCCAAAGCGGTAGTGGTACTGTGGCCCTTTCTGAAGCCTGATTGATTTAATGGCAAAATGCTGCGTTCGAGAAAATACTCATTCAACTGCATATAAACTATTTTTTCTAGAATTTTTGATAGAGCTGACAGCAAGCTAATAGGTCGGAGATCACCAGGAACCTGGGGATTGGGAATCTTTGGAAGAGGTTGCAATAATGCTTCCTTCCAAGCACTTGGAAAAACACCGCGCTCTAAACAACAATTTATTAAGTGCAAAATGTATATTCCTACAGCAGGTAGACACAATTTAATCATCTCAATGCTAATGCCATCAATACCACTAGAATTGGACTTGATACTGCGAATAGCATCCGATACTGTAGATATATCGACAAGACGGAACTGAAAATGAAAATCTTGGTTTAATTTGTTATGGCTATAAAATTCGATAGTTTCCGAGCAATCATCGTCACTTTTCTGGAATATACTGGTAAAATAGTTATTTATTTCATTGGGAACTGCTAAATCATCTGGAATGTCAGTATTACTAGAATCCTGAATTCTAAATGACTTAAGAGCTTTATAAAGAGCTGCAGAGTTTCTTTGTCGAGATATATGTTGAAGGTAGCCTGATTTCTCTGCACGTGTAGCAGTTTTGGTAAAATTTCTCAGTTCATTGTAATGATTTCGATTCGCATCCGTTCGAGACCGTCTATATTTATGAAAAGCCTTATCTCGTTCTTTCATTATCATTTTCAAATTGTTTGTGAGCCATGGTGCACGAGGCTTAGACACTCTCACTGTTTTTAGTGGTGCATGTATGTCAAAAAGTCCTACAATGTTATCGGAAATAAATTTTACTTTCTCATCGATATTAGCTATATAAATAACTTCAGACCAATTAACGCTAAATAAGTCATCGTCAAAAGAGGTTAGATCAAAATTGCGATAGTCTCTAAATGTAATTAGTCTAGGTGGTGGTTTATTGTTTTTACACGAAATGTGACAGAATACAGCCTGATGGTCAGGTAATTCAGATAAATCATTTTTGTCAACTGTAAATGGTTGATTATTGCTTTTTAGTTGACTGATTGACGATTTTTAATTTACTGATTTTCGTATTTTTATGTTTACAGCACGGCAGAGTTTCGCAACGCTTTTCTGAAGACGATTCGTCAGATAATCAGAGAATCAGTGCGAAACATGATGATTCCATCAACGAAACCTGGCTCTGGACCAGGAATCCTACTAGCAACTGGTCACAAAGTTCATGCAGGAGGAGCAGTCTCTACTAGCCATACGCTGGAAAGGACTGGTGCTAGGTCGCAACAACAGACTCAGGTACGTGTTGGAACAGAACAGCTTCAAATCTCAATTGTGCGCATTTGTGTCAAAATGTCACTGGGTTTCCACCTACTAGTAAGAATGCGGAATATAATAATAATAATAATAATAATAATAATAATAATTAACGTCTTTTATTTGTAATATTCTTACATGAGGCGAGAGACTTCGAAGTTGAGTCATTTATTTTAACAGTGAGTAGATCTGATCAAAAGAAATGTTTTTTTCCTTTACCATTTTTCTGGTAAAATTAAAGTAACAAAGTTATAGCCCTTTGGAAGTTTGAGTACCGCCCTGTCTCAATAATAATATTATGTGCTCGTGTTTGGCGACAACGGATATAATTCGCCTTATCGGTTCATCGCATCGGAAACAAAAAAGCGAAAGAATTTGGAACGATGTTTTTACAATTATTTCATTCAGTTGTATACAGTCAGTGTCAGTCGGTAGTGGATAGTGGTGTCTGTTGCGTGGCTCAAACGAAATAAAAAATGGCACATGTTTATGCGGATCGGTTTCCCAATCGAGTGCAACCAACCCCTCGTGCCTTTGTTAATGTAGTACAACGGGTTCGTGAATCATTTGACTTAAGACCTCACATATGGACGGCATGCCGGTGCTCCAAGACCTCACGATCAAATACAGGTCCGCACTGAAATACTTGTCGGGAGGATACTTTATAAAACAAGGTAAATTTTTTTTTAATTTTTTTTTTAAACACATATTTTGGTTTATCTTTCTCCTACAATCATTATCTGAAAATTAATGACTCAACTTCAAAGTCACCCTGTATATCTATTCTACCATCTAACCCCCTTAACAATACGAGATGTAAAAAAAAATTTGTTGAAAATGAATAGGCACGTGTATACAATAACGAATAATCCAAGTAAATACATAAGGAAAATATGAGGACACTTATGGGTTACAACCGATTTCGCTGCTGATCAAGAAGAACATCTTTCACTTTTTTCTTGAATTTGGATAATGGGTTGGTTTCTTTTAAACTGCGGTCTAAATAATTATATGATTTGATCGCATTGTAAATGTATGAATTCTGAAATAGAGACGTGCTGTGGCGTGGAATTGAAAGTCTCTCTATATTTAATATTAATATGATGCATGTTCCCTCTACGTATGAATTTGTTTACTAAATATGACGGTGTTTTTGAATAAAGAACCTTATGAGTCAGATTTAGGAGCTGGTACTTATACATTTTATCAATTTTCATCCATTTGAGTTCATTAATGGCATTCGATATATGATCATATTTTCTGAGATCATTTACAAGCCTGCAACATGTATTCATAATACATACATACGATTTCTTGTTATAATATCTAAATAGGGATAGTAAACCACTAAGCAATACGATATCTTTGAAAATACGAAATATTCACACAATTGCTTTCTCGCAGATTTATGTAATATAGCCTTATTTGCAAATAAAACTCTGAGAATAGCGTAGCACTGAGTAATTAGATAGTTCACGTGTGCAAAAAATTTTAAGTCATCATCCACTATAATACCTAGGTTTTTCGAATGATCCACAGGAATTAATTTATTACCTTTTAAATGTATGTCTATGTGCTTTTTTACGGTATTCTTTTTTGTTCTATTTGCGTATACTAACATATTTGTCTTCAAAGGGTTCAAACGAAGGTTATGACTACTACTGAACTTTTCAATTTAGACAAGATCTTGATTAATTTTATTATTTGCCGTTTCCAAGTCATTACTCCTAAATGAATAGAAAATTTGAGTATCATCTGCAAAAAATTGTATGCTGCATGATTTTACCTCTGTTTCTAAATCTGAGATATATAATGAAAATAATAGCGGTCCTAAGACTGATCCCTGTGGTACACCAGAACAAATTTTTTGTTCCGTAGAGTACTGTTGATTTAGACGAACTTTTTGATACCGATTTTCAAGGTAGGTTTGAATAAACGAAAGAGGTTTTTCAGAAAATCCATAGTAACTGCATTTAGGTACAAGAAGTGAGTGATTAATGGTGTCAAATGCTTTAGTAAAGTCAAAAAGTATGAAAGCTACTGATTTTTGGTTATCAAGTGCCATTGTTATATTGTCTGTTAAATCACAGAGTGCCGAAGCTGTATTATGACCTTGTCGAAATCCAGATTGTTTAGATGGAATAATTTTGTTAGAATATAAGTAGGCGCAGAGCTGCTCGTAAACAACGCGTTCCAATACTTTAGAAAAAATTGGCAGTAGACTGATCGGTCTCAGTTGACCATAGTTAGTAGGGTCAGAATACTTAGGTAGCGGAATAACTATAGCGCGTTTCCACTGACCGCACTACCTTTTTTGGACAGTGAACATTAAATAAACATAAAATACTATCTGTTAAAAAGTTAATTTTATCTTCAATGTCATCTATCGATATAATATGCCACCATGGAAAACTCTTGAGATCTTGTTCAAACGCTATTTCATTTAAACTATGGAAATCCCTGAATGTCACAAATTTCTGTTGATTTTTAGGAAGTGCAATACGTATATCACAGAAGGTTAAATAGTGATCAGTAATCATATCAGCATTAATAGTGCCATTCCGAAGACAACTTTCAGGCTTGCTCAAATAAATAGGATCTAAGAGAGTGAGTGTCGATTCAGTTATCCTAGTCGGTTCAGATATCACCTGTTCCAGATTATAAGAATCAAGGCATTTAGTCAAGTTGTTACAAACTAAAAGCAAATTAACATTGATATCCCCTTCAAGAATGATATCATCATATTCAGCTAATATGGCAGGCAACATGTTATCAAAGGTATTACCGGCTTCTGTAACAGAGCTATGTGGGGGCCGATAGAATATACCAATAGCAATTTTTTGTTTTAGAAGATGCACCTTCAACCATATATATTCAAGACTTGGGCCTTGCCCAAATGAAATTATGGAAGAGTTGTAGTGGTTGTTTACAAAGACTGCAATAGACTGCAGTACTCTATATATAGAAAATTTTTATGTTTTAAAAACCTTGGTCGGACCTAAATCGTATGATTAACGAATTCCACAAGGAAAGTCTAGGCGCGTCAATCAGTTAACATACGTATAAAAGTGGAATAATGACTTTATTTTACAATTGTTCAGGTATTTCAATACGGTCTCCCCTGAGACAAGATGCACTTCTGCCAACGCCGTTTCCACTGTTGATATGATCGCTGAAAGTCGTCAATTGTAAGTCTCTTCATTTGCCGTTGTCGTTTCTGCCTTGATGGCTTCCACATCCCCCAAGTGCCGCCCCCGAAGCACCATTTTGCACTTTGGGAATAGGAAGAAGTCTCAAGGGGGTGAATAAGGCGGGTGATTGAACTTCAGGCTAAAAGCTCACGCACAACGAGAGTTATGGCATGGGGTGCCATTGCTTATTGTAGGAGATCACCACTAATTTTCATCAGAGAGAACATGCCCGACGCTATATTCAGGAAGTAGTAGATCCTCATCTTATTCCATACCTAAACATGCATCAACCTTTCACCTTGGCCACCACCGTCGCCTGACCGATCTCCAATTGAACATGTCTGGGACATGATAGATCGCAGGCTCTTGAATTTGTAATACCCTCCACTGACTTGTGCAGCTCTTACTCTCGAAGTTGCAGTAACTTGGAATGTGTTACCCCAACAGGATATCGACCACCTTATCAGCACGATGCCCATGCGTGTCAATGAGTGTATAAGAAATCGTGGATCCTCAACACATTATTGAACTAGCTTCTGCAGTCAGTTGACGAATCAACCTGAAAATTCAATCATTTTGCTAGAAAGGGACACTGAACAAATTTTGAAGGAAATCCTCCAGATGGTATTTATAATAATTTGAAGTAAATGCTTTTGATTTTTGAGTATAAGCGTATCCTTCAAAGCAGTGACATAAGTAAAAGGAAGCATATCCTTCAAAAATTCTGAGTGTGGTCAGTAGCAGACTCAAGTTCGTAACGAAAGGTGGTCAAACGATGATGGCGGAATTTGTGGATGTTAGGGATGTTAAAACGTATAAACCTCGTTTACCTTCCCTTGGTCGTGACGGTTCGACGAAGCAAATGTACAATGGCTTGCGGACAGATTTTTTGTTGAGAATGAGGAAACTCGAGGAGGAGCACTTTCATGTATTCATACAATGAAGATATGTCTACGCTATCTCGGTGACCCTGGATATCAACAAGGTATTGGTCAGGAACTTCGTGTTAGTCAAACAACGGTATCTCGGACTGTGGATAGAGTTGTGAACAGCATAGTTGCACAGTCGAACGAATGGATCAAGTTTCCAGCTACCAACCATGAACTGATGGATGCCAATCGGATATGGCAATGCATGTATATATTTCCGACAGCAATTTTTGTAATTGATTGTACACATATAGGAATCCTGAAACCAAATCGCCATGGAGATGATCAACCGAAAAGGGAAACCTAATCTAAATGTGCAAGCCACTTGTGATGCCAGAAAGACGTTCACAAGTGATAATGTCAGTTGGCCTGGATCAGTGCATGATTCCAGAATATGGAGAAATTCACAGACTAGATCACAACTAATAAATAAAGCAAATGTTGTACTACTTGGCGATGACGGTTATGGTATTGAGCCATGCCTTATGACTCCCTTCAGAAATCCTACTCCAGGTGCAGAAATAAATTATAATAAGCTTTTAAAACAAGAAAGACTTATAATTGAACGCTGTTTCGGCCCACTGAAATGCCGGTTTCCTATCCTACACTATGTTTGCCGCGTAAAGTTGGAAAATGTGCCGCAAATAATTATTGCTTGTATTGTACCCCATAATGTTGCGAAGAGCTTGGGCATTCCTGACTGAGTTAGTTGAACAAGAAGATGAAGGAAATCATGAGAATGACGAACTTCCTCTCCGCCAACTAGGTCCACAAATAAGAAGAAACTTGAATATAATAATAAATAGTTTTACTGATTAAAGTGTATTTATAAGTTATAATAAGTTTTATTTTCGTGAACATCGTAAGTTACAGGTGGCTTCTGACGCTGCATCATTTCTAATTTCGTTTTATAATACTCTTCTTGTAAAATACTTGTTTGGTACTGTTGTAATAGCTCTAGACGTTGCAGTTCTTTTGTAGTTAACTCTTTGGTTTCCTCAGTTTCGTATTTCTCTGTTGCTAATTTCCTTTTTGGTGGCAATGTCTTCTGAATTGCTAGCGTAGTAATGCTGTTTGCTCACTGCGCTCGGTATATAGTTCACTTCCTTCTTCTCGAATGCTACCAACCTGAGCGGCACCTCTTATTTTCCCAATTGTAGGATTACAGTCACCTTCCATAGCTTTCAGCAACTTTCTTTTTCAATCTAACAATTTAATTGCTTTATTACCAGTTTTGTTTTTAGATATGTTTTTTCTTCAATCTTGATTTCATGTTGTTGTTTTTTTTTTTAATAAGCTTTCAGTATCTGATGGTTGACCGAATGTTAATTCGTATTTTTTCAACATCTTCTTCAAGGCATCGTCCTTTCTCATCATTATTTTTGGAACTTGCAAAATTATGGGAGCAATGGCAATTTCATCTGCGATGAACTGCAGGTCGTTGCCATTATTTTCTATAGATTCCTCATCACTTGAGGATGACATGCTTATTAATTTGATAAAAAAACTGTATCCAGTAAATATACGGAGCGGTCTGTGTAAGCTCTGGAGCAGTGTTGCCAGAGCGAAGTTTAAAATATCCGTCACACGTATCGCAAAATTCCGCTACATGCCGCTACGGTCTAAAAATTTAAGGGGGAGGGAGGCTTAAAATAAACAAATATATTTTTTACATATTTACTTTTTTTTAACCACTGTCTAAAAACCCTAATAAAAATACAAACAGTAACATAATATAATTGCAATTTTTCGAAAAATCATAAAAGGTATACCTCTAAAAAAACAAAACTGTCTTTGGTTTAGAATTAGGAACTAATAAAAAAATATAAACTATCACCAATATCTTAATCTTAATAGAAAAAAAACAAAAAATAACGACAAAGAAGAAGCGGAAACGTGGAAATGCCTACGTTTGCTTATTTTATTCACAGTCAGAATCAGAAATTACTTCTTCTTCAGCTTGTTCTTCCTTATTTACATTATATAAATTCTTTTTATATTTGTTTAAATGATTCTCATTAAAACTATAGGATAAACATCACTGTTTTTTTGATTCCAAGTCTAATTTAATTGTAAGTAGTGCAGACAAAGTTGATGGTATTATTTTATTTCTGTTTTTTTTTTGTAATCAAGCATATAAGAAAAAGTTCGCTCAACATCAGCGTTTCCATGAGGCAATGTTAAAATGATTAGAACCAGTTTACCTATATTGCGAAATAAATATTCGTCAAAATTTTTGAGGTCGTTTACAAACGACCAAAATTCAATGACATTACTTTTTGTTTTTAAAATTTCCTCTTTCTCACTATCACTAAAATAAATACATATTTTCTTTAGTTCCAAAATTGCCTTTTCGGTTTCAATATGAAGGGCAAATTTTTTTAAAACGGCGTCATGAGAGGTATCACTTATAATAAGACGATTGTTCATCACATCAACCGGTGAGAGAAACTTTAGCTCTGAAAAGAAGTTGTCTTTGATAGGAAATCTTTTAAGGGACTCTTCTACCGATTTTTGGTAAAATGTGAGACATTTTAATTGAAATTGTTCGATTGCCGTGTTATTGCAGTGTTTTATTGCATCCATTGTATGCGGACCAACATTCACTTGTTCAATTGATAATAAGCAGTGGGGATCATTAGGATTTAGATTATATAATTTCTCATTTTTAAAATATTCTGGTCGCATAAAGTTTATGCATAGATGACGTACAAATCGCTCACTCTCTATTGATATGATATTGAGCATAACTTTCTCTGATTGAAAGAGAGCATTAAATTGGTTAAAAATGGGAAACACGAATTTAAAAAACATTAAATACGCCTTAACAAATGGATTCTGTAACTCATTAAGTATTACATTTGCTACAGGATTTTTGTCTTCAATCGACGCTAATTTAAATAGGCTAAGCAAGATGTCCCACTGATCCAAAACTCCAGCAACAGATTTGGATAAAGCAATCCACCTTGTTTTACTAGTGCTTAAAATTTTTAATTTTGACTTTTTGAAATATTCCTGTAATTCTTCAAGAACACACTGCCTTTTTGGGCTTCTTGAGAAGTAAGAATATAAGTTTTGTAAAAGAGCTTCAACGTTGCTTGGAATCTTTTCAGCTGCCGCCACCGCCACTAAATGAGCAGATTGGCAAATGCAGCCATTGACAATTATATTAGGATTATCTTTTAAAAGATAGGTTTTGAAAGATTCGTTATTACCCATCATAACACTAGCGTTGCCGGAACAGTATCCAACGATATTGGTAATTTTTACTTGATTGGATATAACGCATTTTTTAAAAAGAGAATATAAACCTTTGGCGGTACCTTCATCTGCGTTTATTTTAATTATATCTATTTAATGGATTTTAATTGAATTTTTATGAATATACCTTACAAGAATGCATAGTAGTCTTGTATTGCTCAGGTCTGTACTCTCATCCAATAAAATAGAAAATCGTTTATTTTCCAATTCTGAAATTATTTCTTCTTTAATAACAGGAGCCAGCACATTTTTAATTATACTTATGCATTTGGATCTTTTTAATTTAAGTGAGCTAGAGAGATCTCGGTCTTTAAAACATAATTGACTAACTCCTGTTATATGATCAACAGTTCTAAAACTTATATAGTGACTTACAACTAAAAGACTATATCTTAAGCAAGCAAATATTTGCCGTTTTTCCAACGCACGTGCTTCCCGAGACTGAAAAGTGCTATCTAACGTTCTTACATTCGAAATTGCTTGTGCATTAGTGGCATGCCTTTTTGATTTCGAATGATTCACTAAATCTGATTTTTTAGCACCCATTATTTGATTACAAACTTTACATTTTGGTTTCAACTTGTCATTTTCAATAGGTCCCAACCAGCCTTTAAATAACGGATCTTCTAGCCATGATGAAGTAAATATTTGTTTTCGTGTCTTTTTCTTAACAGGTTGCTCTGGCTCTTGGTTATCCTGAGATTCGCAAGTCGAATTATCAGGCTCAGACCTGATTCCACTAGATTCCGCTCTTCTATTTTGTCTGTATTCAGGTTCGGGATGCTCCGAGTCCGACACAGATGCAGTCGAAGTGGATGGTACGGCCACGTTTGGTTTCACCGTTTGTTTTTTAGAAGGATTTTTATCAATTTTCCAGAAGAAAAAGCGTTAAAAACAAATTTCGCGACTAAGATTTATTTCTGGATCAAACTATAATATGTTAGATATTTAAGCAGTTTTGTTACTTACCAGTAGATTTAATATTAAAATCTGCAGCAAATGATATATTAATAAAATGATCAACACAAAAATAAGAACACTAATATAAACGAAACTAAACAGTATACTTATACCCAGAGTTGAAAAATACAATACAAAGCGAGAAACCTAATATTATGTCTGCCTGCTGAGACCTGTTAGAAACGATTAGAATTGAAGCAGTACGTACGCCATCTGTTATTGAAAAAAAAGGCAAGTGGAATAATTCTCTTCTCTGTTCTTAGATGGCTCAAGCGGCACCAAATGCACCAATTTTATTATTAATGTGATAATAAATCAGACTCTAGCCGCTGCCTATTTAGGATTTAGAACGTTATTAACGTTAACACAGTGAAATAAATATGATAGTTTTGCATGTAATAAATTCCGCTACATTTTGGGCTAATTTGCTCTACCGCCGCTACGCCGCTCTTCTCAAAATAATCCGCCACAAATAGCGGAATTCCGCTACGTATGGCAACACTGCTCTGGAGTACAACTCTCAGTGATGCTCAGTGAACTAGTCAACTACAAGCTGGGACAAGTCAGGACATGTCGCTCAAGATACAAATACCAGTCAACCTTTTACTTCGTCTTGGAGGATATCCTCGCAAGTATAAGGTAATCGTTATGAATATGAAAACAAGGATATTCTTATACTTCTTCTTTTTTCTCCGAAGCAAGAACTTATACTTTTACCTTATGCTTCCGACGATATGCTTCCCTTTTATGAATATGGCTCAATATCACCATTTTCTCCATTTGTTGCTTTCAATTTGTCGCAGGTTCAGCAAGGTTCTCATACACTAGGCAAAACAAGAAGGACGAAAGGAGGGCAAAGACATTCAGCTGGTAACATAGAATATGATAATGTCAGTCAAGAAGAGGATGAGATCACAGTAACGGGAAGTAACTTCAGATCGAGAAGTAGGACTGTTGGAGACACTGTGGGTAAGTTCAGGATGAAGTTTTGATATCGATCGGGTCTTAAATTAAAAACCGCACCAAGGAAGGCTTCTAAAACGTTGCTGATTAAATTTCAGATGCTCAAAAACGTGCTGATGAAAGGAATGACACTGGAGCTAAATCGGAAGGGGAAGAAGATTCTCAGGCAGGAGCCAAACCCAAATCAGGACTGGGGAAGACTCCAAATCATCTCACCCTAAGGTAAGATCTAAGCAAGCATTCTGAATTGGTTCTTATCAAACTGGTTTAGTTGCCACGTTAAATGTCAATTTGAAGAGATTTTGCTGGGCAATTTAGGTTTTTGGAGATCACAAAAAAAGTGGAAATTTTGAACGACAATTTTGAAAATTCTGGAAAAATTGAATGCGAAATGGAAAATGTTTCGAAGATTTTTAATAGCTTTTGTATCTATGATTTTGAATATCTTTTGTGTGTGTCATTTTGAATAGAGGCTTTCACTGCTTGTAACATCAAACCTAGATTGCCCTTGCAAACGTACCCGTATGCCTGTTGGCCCATACCTGTGCCTGTTCTCCTCAGTGGGTGGCCGAACCAAAACCCCCCGACCTTTTGCAGCACCACGTCTACCCTGTCTGCAGGCAGCACCGGCAGCCAAGCAAGACTCATCCAGTCTTCTCACCCTCCGGAGACCTTCCATCCCATGCACACCGAGGATCTGGGTAAGTCCCATCATGACGAAATACTCGTAGAGACAACGAGAAGTTCTTATCCAGGAAAGTCCATATCCTAACATGGCAAAGTGTGTCTGTTGGTTTTGAACTCTCTAAAACCTAGACGATATCTAACACAGTTTTTGTATTACATGGGTAATCAAAGCAGCAAGGTCTTCTATTTTTTTCAAGTACATGAAGCATTTATTTCCATTACTTAAGCATTGTTATATAGTAGATCTGAAATATTTTTTATTTTTTACATAATCGCCATTTCTAGAAGCTCTGGCATTTTCTGTATGTCATGTCATTTCAACTTACTGCCAGGTACATGAGAAACCTCATCTTACACTCGTCATCGGAACTAAATTCTTTTCCGATCCGTGAAATATTGAAAAAATGGCGTCAAATATATTACTACAGTATATTCAGATAAGAGATAGACCGGATGTAAACAAAAGGTTCGGGTGATTTTCACGCTAACGCCGCCGTCTCGACGTAAAACAGGAGCCCTCATTGGTCAATTCGCAATTAAATGCCTATGCCGAGCGGCAGAGCAGTCGTATCAAGGCAGAGTCACATTCAGGTTCAGACGTGTTACGTATGTCGTGTGCATCATTGCAATTTGATATTTCTTTGGACGTTTTCGTTTGTTATCTTATTAAGTTGTTGAGTTTGTCGTTGTTATTGTTATACCTTGTTATTGATTGTTATTGTTATCAACTGCTTGCGCAAAATGCCCAGTAGTACAGATACTGCCGATGAAGTTGTAAACTCCTGTAGTCCACCTAGGAAACGCTCTAAAAAAAGACACCTGAGTGCAGAAATGAAAGAGGTCATTTTGAATATATATAAGATCGAGCGCGAGGAGAACGAGGCATCAACCATCAAAGAAATTGTTGTGAAGGTTTCTCACAAATTTGGGGTGTGTCGTGCATCAGTGTTTAATGTGTTAAGACAATACAAAAAAAATCACACCTTTTCTGAGCCAATGACCAGTAAACATCGCAAAAGTATTGTTAAATCATTGGATGAAGCTGATAAGCATGCGATTAGGAGGAAAGTGCATGAATTCTTCTTTAGGAATGAAATACCTACTATAGATAAAGTACTGCAGGAGGTAAATGGAGATACAACGTTGCCAAATTTCAAACGATCAACTTTCCATGCGTTACTGAAGCATTTAAATTTCAAATGGAAAAAACGGGGTCGTAATAGTTTACTACTGGATAGAGAAGAAATTGTGCTATGGAGGAGGGATTATTTAACAAAAATTGGGAAATATAGAAATCAAAACAGGAAGATTTATTACCTTGATGAAACGTGGGTAAACGCAGGACACACTACAAGTAAAGTATGGGTTGATGATTCTGTAACTTCATCCAGGAGGGACTTTCTAGATGGACTGTCCACCGGATTAAAAAATCCAGCAGGTAAATACGAGTAATAGACAACAATCGGATGTTTTTCAAACCTTGGGAACAAGGTTCTAAACATTAATTCCAGGGGGCAGATAAAACATATTACAAGTAACAAAACTTTTATAACTTTCGATTAAATGCGTGGATGTTTCATTGTCATTTTCATTTGTTAGAACTTTTTTAAGCCATGTCTTTATGTGTTTTCGATATTTCAATAATTTTTTAATATAATCTTAAAATATGTCGAATATTATAAACTTAAAAAAAGTTACTAAGTTTTATATTGTGTACCGTTCCTAATATTTCTAATCATTTTAATTCATACTTTAAGCTTTATAAAGTTATAATTTGTTAATATTAATATTTGCGCGTATTTCAGGTTCCTGATCATTCATTTTTTAAAGGTTTATAACTTTAAATTAAATTGTGAAGCGCTGAGTAATCATACGACGTTCAATATTCTTTCTTTCAATATGACTAAATAATCCCAATTATAGCAATCTGATACTCATGTCTCAATGTTTTTTCGCTGAATGTGATGAAAACATTTGAAAAAGGTTCGCTTATTGAAATAAATCTACACCAGTTAGTACTTCGATTTCCAGGTAAAGTGAAAAGGCTCATTATCTGCCATATTGGCAGTGAGGATGGATTTGTTGTTGACGGTCTGTGGTGCTTTGAGTCTAAGAAAACTGGAGATTACCACGAGGAAATGAATGGCGAATCGTTTGAACAGTGGTTTTCAAAAATTTTACCGAAGTTAGAGGAAAACGCAGTAATTGTGTTGGATAATGCGCCTTATCATTCTCGAAGAATGGAGAAGGTCCCAACAACGGCTTCAAGGAAAGTTGATGTTCAAAATTGGCTCCGCTCGAAAAATATCAACTTTGAAGAAGCAATGCTGAAAGTACAATTATTAAGAATTGTCAAGGATCACAAGGCGGAATATCAAAAATACGCCATTGACGAAATGGCAGCAAGTCAAAATAAAACTGTGCTCCGTTTACTTCCATACCATTGCGAGCTCAATCCCATTGAGCTCATATGGGCAGAGGTTAAAAATTATATAGCTAAGCACAATACAACGTTTAAATTTTGTGACCTCAAAGGACTTTTCAAAGAAGCACTAGAATTAATAACAGCGCAAAAATGGGAAAACTGTATTAAGCACGTGAAAGACAAAGTTGAAAAGAGAATGTGGGAACTGGACAATATTTTAGAGGAACAAGTCGAGCCATTCATTGTTGACGTTGGTGCTTCAGGCAGTAGCGATGATGAAATCTCATCAAGCTCATCTTTCCAATAAAAGATTGCGTTCATCAAATTCGGTAAGTTATAAGTAATTATAAAGCTACTGTATTTTTTAATTAATTATTGACATTTTTGAACCCATTTTGGCAAAACCTATTCAAGAATCTACTTTCTGATAATGTTCAACCATGCACATTTTTTTACGTTTTGAACGTTTTAATTTGGTTACATATTTACCTAGAAATCAAAAAATATACTAATCAATATTCTAAAAGCAATTTTAAGAGATATACGATTATTTTTAATTTAGGCTAATTTAAACGCCATTTTGAGATTATATTCGACTGTATTTCACCAAACATCAGGCGGCATCCGAAGCTGGAAATCGAAGCGAAAATTTTGAAACCCTTATGTATATTTACATCATTATATATTTCTTACCCCACCCCCACATGATCCTATATCGATCACCAATCGTATACACATCGAATTGTGCTAATTTACTACAAAGTTACGCAAAGCAGCATCTACTATCTAAAATATGTACTGCGTGACTCTTAATACGTCCCTGCGGAATGTTACAGCGTTCGATGATCACGTGGTCTTGTTTATGTCCGGTCTATCTCTTATCTAAATATACTGTAGGTAAACTTAAATATGATGAATATACTGTAATAACAATTTTTATTGGTCTAACTACAAAGTTTTCATATAAATAATAACGGCAGTGTCCAATAACCATAATGTACCTCAAAAAACTGTACGCTTGTACTTGGGTTTTAATCGAATTAAAATTTACATCAGTTTGTTAGCAAATAACATATTGGTCTTTAATGTCTATAAACTCATGGATTTGTAGGCTTGGTTGATTTAGGATCCCTTAACTGTAATTCAATTTTTAAACGTTTTTCACATTTTATATGTTTAAAGTGTGCGGGAATAACATTATAAAATTGTTTTGTTAAATATACTCAGTGACATTAGGAGTGTTATACCCAGAAAAAATAGAATCTTCAATTTTTTTTGGCAACATCATTACCATATTTGAAGCAGGCTGTGGCAACAATGTCAACGTTTTATTTGATCTGTGAATATTTGAAGTTTTCAACCGTTAGTATGTTTTCGCAGCTATTCAACATTTTAATTTGAAGTTGATTAAAATTTGGGGAAGATCTGTTGTCGCAAGAAAATGTAATACAATGTGCTTTGTTGAAATTCAGCGTTAAAATCCTTTCCGTGAGAAAACGTGTAACCTTTTGAAAATCTAATACAATTTCGTTTTTTGAAGAAGCCGAATCTTTGTCTGAATAAGTAATTGCCGTATCGTCTGAAAAATCAATAATTCCTCCATCGGTCATTACTTAAAAAGGTACTATATAAATTGAACAACACTGGTCCTACTACAGGTCCTTGTGAAACTCCGGATCTAACTGTCATATTTTCACTTAGTGTACCTACTGTCAAGATAAGTGGCTTCACGAAATTATATATTTTCCAAGGTTTTTAGTAATTTTTGATGTGTAATGCTATCGAATGCTTTGGCCGAGACCCATTACTATCAACGTATTTGTAAATTTTGGTTGTTAACTGAATAAGTGCATCTTGAGTTGACTCTGCTTCCTGGAATCTAAACTTTTATACAGGGTGTCCCAGAAGTCGACGTCAAGCTGAAACCGGGTGATAGGCAAAGTCATAACAGCTATCAGAAAAATATTTAAAAAAATTTTATGTATGTGTTTTGAAAATTATAGGTCTTTGAAAAAAATATAGAAATTTCACACCCTACGGCAGTCTATTAACTCCTGTTACTACAACTATTAACTTTTTTTGGATTATTACAATGTAATGATGAAAAATGCATCTTCAAACTGGTGTCTCAACCTTACTGCCAACTTTTCTCGTTCAGGAAAAATTGCCACTTATTTCTCAACCAAGTATTCCAAAGTAAAACTTTGCTCAACTTTAACTGGCTGTACTGGAAAAAATGTACTACGAGAGTTTGGTAAGTAACCTTAAAAGTTGGCGCATTTAATAAGGATTCCAAAATGGTATAACACTTAGAAGATTACTCGTTAACTTATGCACAATTTTTATTTGAAGAAAAACTGATGAAAATTTTTCAAAATTTCCTAATTAAACAGCGATTATGAAAACGCACAAGGACCCTTAAGGATAACTGTTTGCACAACAGTGCGCGTCAAAATGCTGCTGATGATGATTTACCTTTACAGCAAATACTCAAACTGTTTTCCTTCAGCCGCAATACACGCTCGACATCTTCTTAAAAAAGATCGGGTTATTAAACGAGCGAATCCACGGTTATTAACAAACTCAGCTGCTTCCAATAGTCT